ACTCTGTGAGGTAAGATATTCTTCTGTCCTAGACTCGGAATTGGAATAGCAGCCAGGGCTTCATTGGAATTTCCGCCCCCGAGAGGATGTTTCAAGGGATAGGACGTTTTTCGAAAGTGCGTATAGATGAGAACTGCTTGGAACGGAACCGAAGCCTCTGTAATTGGGACCTCATTGAGTTATGCCACCGAGTTAGGTCTCATACTAGGTATAAAGCCCGTAACAGGACCTAGATTGGATGGTCCCCTAATATGGTCAAATTGATCTTTTGCATCGGGATTACCCAAATGTTGAATTAGTCCTTTTCCCTTTTGTTGACTCCAGGTAAGAATGGCTTAGACACATTCTACCTCATTTATCAGAGAATCTTGAGGACCTCGATTTATCTCCTTATTTTTTTCTTGGCTTTGGATCTGTTGATCTCAATTTAAGACATTGAACGGAGCATTACATTGCTGATACGTATGCCCTGACTACTTGCAATTTCCACAAATTGGTGCATAATTGTCTTTGGCTCTGGGATTGGAACATTCATTGGCATAATGACCAATCTGTCTGCAACAGAAACAACGAAGTGGTCTTCTTATACCCCCATCAAGCATATTAGGTGCCTCTACGAGTATTCATCTACTAGGCTTATTCCATGTAGGGTTAGAAAATGATCTTGGTTGTCCCGTTGGTACTGAGGGAACTTGGTTTGATGACATCGATGGAGCATATTGCTGATACCTCTGCTGCTCCTTACCGTAGTTCTTGGGATTCAATGCAGACTCCTAATTAAAATTGAAACTTTGAAAGTTATTGAATGCTCAATTTTATCGATTAAATCAATTTGCATTTCATCCAAATATATTTCCCATTTGCACTTGATTGACGTCCCATTGGGTTGGTGGGATCATGGTCTGATTACTAAATTGTTATTGTTATCTTTGCCAATTCCAATAATTTGCTGTTAGGTACTTTCATCCACAAAATGTAAATTGACCTATTATTTGTGAGGGTGAGGGGCATTCTGTTATAAAATTACCGTGGCCCTTACAATTACTGCACCGTACATTGGTCTTAGTATTGGTAGGCTTTTGCCTCTTCTCCTTATCTTCAGCCATATTGACGGCCATTTCCTCCATTTTCTTTGTCAAATTCAATAACAAGGTTTCATTGGAATCTTTTAGGGCTGACATTATTGGTATCTCTGTTGTAGTTAATGCTTGTTGTTGATATGGAAAATATAAAGCATATGCTGTTGTCACGTTCGGTGGTATAGCTTGCAATGGGGTGACATTAATTGGCCCCTGAATATTGGTATTGGAATTGGCCCCTATTTCTAACATCCATGGATAACTACCCATTGATTCGTTCCAAGTAGGATTTTGATATCTACCTTGAACTGGAATCATTATGGCTCTCGCAGTTAAAAACTGATCATAATAGCATTCCTCCCAAACCTTGGCTCTAATAAGGGATGCAGCCATCGCAACGGTTTGAGCTTCTTTTACAAACATTTTCAGCTCTGGTGGGTGCAAACCATTGATTAATCATTGATTAATATAGATAAGATAAATACCTCCGACATTTGGTGCTTCGGCCACTTACTGAGTATATCAGCCACTCGGCCATAGTACGATTCCACCACCTTCTCTAGGATCATTTTACTATTTATTAACCTCTCTCGAAGGCAGTCCTCAAAACCAATTGGCTAAAAATGAGATAAAAATGTATTCTTCAATGCTTTCCAATTCGAAAATTGATCCACTCGTTGGTAGTTGTACCATTCAAATGCTGTATCTTTTAAGGTTGCTGGCAGCCATCACAACCAAATATCTTCAGTTTTGCCATTATTAGCTACACATGCTGTAAGAAACTGAGATAAATATTGATTGGGATCCGTACCCAAAAATCCCCAAAAAGTAGGTAGTGGCGTGACAGTAGTTGTATGATCACCTACTGCACCTATTTGTATTGCATTCAAAACGGCTGGTCTTTTGATGCCATTGAATTTCTTGTTCCGCTAAACTCCATTTTAAAATAATCTCTGCTTTTCCTTATTCTAATTTTCGAGCTCTTAGTGCTCCTCGATTTACTGTTAATTTTTACAAATAGTTTTATTGGTTGAATTACAAGTAAAAACGTTAGATTTTGAAATACAATATAGTTATCTTTATTGGCGACCAATTTGTGCCAATCTGAAGAGCCACTATTGCTCGTTTCAGCGGTACCTCCTATTAGAAAAATACCCAATGGAGTACCAAATTCTTCTATGCCTCCTTCTCTTTCAGTTAACAGCCTCAAGATTTCCACTGAAATGTTAACAAAATTTTCCGCGAGTGTTCTTGATAGTTTTTCTAACGGTATATACGATTGCAGAATTAACAGTCTGTCCGGTTCTTGATATGTTCGGATGCGCCAATAAGCTTGCAACCATGATTTAATCCAATTTTTTCGATGCTTCTTTTCAAGATTATGTTCTTGCTCCTTGCTAAGTAAGTTCCTTCCTTGCATTCTTCTCTATCTTTCTCTCAACTGATTTATTTTCCTCGATGCAATGCTCTCGTTCTTATTAACCATAATCTTGCTTCAAATACTATTGAAATCGTCTTCCATTGCCAATTTTCTCACATGTTTGGTAATTAATTCCTAACACTCAAAGCTATTATCACTCCCCGGTAGCAGCGCCAAAATGTGATTGCTCGTTTTACTCATTCCAAATTAATCTAATCGAAATAAATCCGTATAGGGGGATTCGAACATGGAGAATGATTAGTTGCTTAAGCATTCACATTAGGATCACACAATCAATTACCTCCTGAATGTATCATTTCTATTTCCAATATTTGAACACACAAGGAAACTATAATCTCCTCCTTCACCTTATCGGTCTTTTCCTTACAGCAATTCAGTCATACCAATAACTCCTATTTCCACCAATATATTCACCCTCATAATCTCCAACTGTAATACTATGCCTTCACAGCTTTCAACACACAATTACTTTCATTCCAATCATTGGAATTCTTCACACATAACTGCCATTCACATTACGGTGTTTCACACAAACACAGACTCATTCTCTCTGCTCAACTACAATCAGATTTTAGCATTCAATCTTTCTTCTTCTCAAATAATACCAATCACATTTCCATTCTATAATTCACTTTACAATATTCAGAAACTCTCAATCCTCTTATTCAAAGAAAATAACAAACAAAAGAAAAGAGGTAGCACCAAACTTATCCCGGCTCACAACTATCACAGCGATGGTACCTTAATTAACTTCTACAACTCCTATATAATTTCCCCTGATTTTCCAGATTCTAACTGTAATTTTGTAATTAACCACTTTTAATAACTAAAGCACTCATTCGTCCTCCTGAATTTCCTATTATATGGACTATTAATATATTTTACCAATATCTTTCAAAAACGAATTAATATCTATTCTACACTTGTATTTACAATGGGCATACATCCAAAAGGACCACTGGTGGCAAAAAAGATCTATAGAAATTAAAAAGGTAAGAATCTTCATTTGCACACTACATTAATTGCTACAACAACATAATCTAGAACTAAAAGTAGTACGAAATAATATTGCTAAATACCAGAATAAGAAGAGAAAAGGTGAATCAAATCCACAAAGCAAATACAACCATTAGACAATCCAAGAAGGAATGATAATTTGACAAGAATGGAAAAAAAATGTCAATGCTCCTCTAAGCTCAACAACTACTAAGCCCCACCATTGTAATACTCAAACCAAAATGATTCTAGCAATTGTTGCTTGTCAACCATCATTAATAAAAAAAATAAAAAAAATAAAAAACACCATAGTTGCTCCAAGACAAAGCTTTGTACATTTGCTTGCAGTAATCAATTTTGCAACAAGAAAGGGCCATACTACAATATCTCATGTTGAAAAAAAAAATAAAAAAAAAATATAGTTGGAGATGGATCCTTCACACAAAAATTAAATCAAAAAAGAAGATATGAGATTTGGAGAAGCCTAGACCCCTATTGGCAAAAAAACCATTGTAGATTAGAAGTAGTTTCTTGCCTTTCTAATCGTCTTTTATTTTTTATTTTTGTTTTTTATTTTCTTCTAATTAAACTTTTAAATTTACATTGTTGACCTTCAAGTTTGGTAAGAGTCTTCAAGGTCTTCTTCTTTCTGTTCGGTGTGTGAGAATGTCGAACATCCTGGTGGTATTGTGTGGCAAAACATGCTCAATTCTCCAAAAATTGTTTGGAGTCCTCGATGGCATGTCTTTATTCATTCAGTACACTCTTCGTTATTGCGACTGGCCGAAAGTATTGAGGCAGTAGTAACTCCGTCTGCCAACTGCATATTTCAAACTGGAAGTGTGGCAGTGGAGAAATCCAAGTGCCGTCTCATTCTTGATCGCTCACTCTTTCTGTTCATCACGTGACAGAAGCGGAAAGTACAGGATGAAATGCAGAGAAGAGGTGAGGGTTGAGGGTGGAGAATGATTGCGAGATTCCCACCACTGGTTTGGACGTCACTAACTCTGGCTCACCCAGGAACATGTGTACCTCCTCTACCCTTGCGGCGTAGAATCTGGATGCAAATGCAAGTAGCCTACACAACGACAATCTTTCCGTTACTTGCCTTGCTGTATTCCGTTGTAGTACTTCATGCCGTGTCTACGAATTCAATTTGCAACTGTCACCGAACTAACAATGCCTTTGGAGTCGCTTGTCACTGTTCAGAAATTGGGCATGGGTATTCAACAGTGAATGTTGGGTGGACTTGTAGTTCACCATGATGATAGTAATTTCGATCGCATTCTCACCCGATTCACCCAATAAACCTGACAAAATCGCCGTCAAAGGATCATCCTCGGAACAATTTAAAACTGTTTTCGAAGCAAGAATAAATGATTATGCACCTGACATACGCTCATGCCACAAAACACCGAGCCGCTGCACCGATGATAAGCCCATTTACCCCACAGCAACATTAGAGAATCCTTCAGAGGTGTCCGATTAGAAATGTGCTGACTCTAATCGTTTCTGTCAGATGCTTTTGATAACCAGCTCTATTTTCCCACCCCAAGTTTCTACTCTTGTCCGCGAGACGTTCGTGTGTCAGAATAAATCTTCTTATTCTGGCCTACTAAATCTAAATCGATCAGTAGCTTGAATTCAAAGAGAGTTAAACTGGCTCATCACACCTATGCGACCCAGTTCCCTTCAACATTTATGAGAAACAAAAAACTTACGAGAACCTTGGAAGGGGAATTGATCGGGGTCCTCAACACCAAGGCACATTTTCGCAGGGTTCTTTGTTTTAAGGCAAAATTGTCCCGTCGGCTTCATACTCTCTGTCAGCTAACCTTGTCCTTCCACCTTTCCCGGACTTTCTGTACACAGCCACAAACTCAAGTACTGTCCAATCTCTTCTTGTCCAACTGACGTCAGTAGATTGCTTACATTTCTCGACATCGGACGTGTCTACAGTGCCGCATACTGATCGATCCTTACTCGAGTCGTTCTTCTTCACTATGAGGTTAGTCTCATGTCCGTGGCGCGAAGTGTGTGATTCTCTTGAATTTTACCCAGCCATGGATTAGAGTTATCCCCAATGCGCTATTTATTTCAAACTTTTAGGATACTGCTTTTCAGTCGGTAGTTGGTCGCTGTGGTGTGCACGACGGTCTCAAGTCTCTCAAACTGAGGGCAGAGTGATAGGGCATGGTGTATTTCCGTGCTTTATATGAGCTTTGGGGCTGCAATATAGAGCTTTGTCTTGAGTCGCGAATGAATTTGGGAAACATCCGAGTTTCTGAGATCTCTAACAGACCACATCGTGTGTTGGGCTCATTGCTGCCGTGGCTTATCTGGGGTCGTCGAATTGTTTCATGCTGTAGAATGCTCGGAGGATGTTTATTTGCTTCAGTACAAGAGGTTTATGGTTAAACATCTCGTTCGAGACGGTTGCTCTCCCCGACCTCTCACGATTTAGGAGCTGCCTCAATGATTCCATCCCTTTTCGACTTCTAGGGTTCCGGTGACAGCCATCAAAGACTTGGGAGCTTGAAGGTGAGACTCTCTAGCGTCGACGTGGGATGAGGTCCTGTGATGAGTGGCATGTGGCGGAGTGAGGTGTTGCTCTTGGACTCTTTACTGCTGAAGGGCCCATTGTAGTCAATTGAGGGCTAGCTGATGTTGATTGGATTTTTGATCCTTTTTTATATTTATTTGTTCCACTGTATGCCTATTTTCCGCTGTACCAGCTGAATTGAGGACTTTGGAAAGAGGGTCACTTGATTAAAGTCTGGGTTGGTGAGATGTAGCTGGTCTCGAAGTTTCTGCATTCAGTTGCCTTACTGGTCATTTCGCGTGATCGCTTGGTTTCAAGCAGTGTGGAGATGATCTTCAGTTCTGTGATCTGCTTCTGATTGATGATGCCAGGTTGTAGAGATCGTTCCCTCTCAGAGTCCCTTAAGTCTCTTCCTGCAGTTTTTTATATGCTACTCTTCGCTGAACTAAGTGTTAATCGATTGCGTGACGACAGGGTAAGGTGACAGTACTGAAGCTACCGGTATCTAGCTGTCGAACGGAGCAGAATGTGCAATTTGCCCCGTGACTAATTCAGAAAGCGAACAATGTATTCCATGCCCGATGACCACTACTATTCTAGAGGCTATGAACCGCAAAATGGCGCAGAAGTGAGCTCCGTACCGAGATATTCTATGCACAATGATCGAATGGATATCTTCCCTCCGAAATATCCAGCTGGAGATGGCCGAGATGTGTTCCAAACGAGACCGCCATTACTAGATGATCGAAGGGACAGCTTCCCACCGAGGCACCCTATGCTAAATGGACGAGGGGAAAGTCTGGCTTCAACTTACACGACGCAAAATGACCGAGTAGATGGCTTTCCAGTGAACAGCAGAGCCTTATCCCCTCTTCTTGACGAATCATCTGGATCCTCGGGAGGTTGGAGTTCTTCAATTACTTCATACATTGGTTCATGGATGGGTCGTGAAGCAGGATCTCCCGGAGGCAAAACACGGGCGGAGAACGGCCTATCTCCTGGAATTGTTCGTGAGCCTTTAAGGATTCAAGGAGCCTCGGCGTATTACAGTGGACACGATTCAAGTTACCCTAGCCAATCGTATAATTTTCCGTCTGCAGATCATGGAAGCCGAGATCTTAGTGGAAAAATTGATAGAACTTTGGCAGTCTATGAACCCCATCAAGTGGCTCTTTACGATCCTCAGCTGAGCATTGCAAGGAAAGAGGTCAAGGAGTTGGAGTCTGTTTTGGCGGCCAAAGACGCTTGCATTGACGGCCTGGAAAAGACCGTAAACGGAAAGAAGAAGTTCATCGACGAAATGGAGAAAGACTTTAAAGAGGTTAGGAAGAGTCTGTTTGTTATGGAGGGCCGCGTGAAGGATTTGGAATCAAGCAATGCTGAGCATCAAGTAAAGTTAAAAGAAAAGGAGCAGGAGGTAAGAGGGCTTCTCCAGCGCCTTGAGAAGTCTCAAACCAACTCTGCGGGGAAGGATGATAAGATGAAAGAGCTTCAAAGCGCTTTGCAAGAGGCCAGACGCGAGATCCAGCATTTAAAAGCTTGGAGGGTAGATCAGGAGAAGAATAGGGAGACTGAGGTTGTCGCTTTGGAACAGTTGAAAACGAAAGTTTTGGATTTGACGACAATGAATAGTCTTTTGGAGAGTAAGAAACTCCAGTTGGCGAAGCAGGTCAAGGATCAGACGGAGCGTTTACAGGACCTTAACCAGAAAGTCTCGACGCAAGAGCTGACGGTGGCAGCCAAAGAGCTTGAGGTGCAGGATCTTAGAGATCGGCTGGGTGAAGAGCAGGAGAAGTTTTCTAAGTTAAGCAAGGACGTGGAGGAGAAAAGCAGTCAAATGAACGAATTAATTGAATACGTCGAGCAGCTCGAGCAGGAGCTCGCTACTCTGCAGAAGCAATTGCGGGGCACAAGCACTGATGATCACGAACTGCTTAAAGCACATTGCTTGGCTTTGGAAGAGCAAGTAGGATCACACGAATTAGAGATGCAGAACCAAAGGGCTCGATTGCGTGAAGAGTGGGAGACGACGTCAAAATTGAATGAGAGGATACGACAAAGCGATATTCAAATTGAAGATCTAAAACAACAAATCGAAGACCTAGAGGGCGGGGAATCAGGAGTCGTCAAGAGCGTACCCAAGGAGATTGTCGGAAGAGTCTCGTCTTTTGGGTCGCAAGCCACCCCTCAGCTTCTCGAGAAGGCTGTCCGGCTCGTGCACGAAGTTGCGGGAATCTTTTCAAGGCTTTTGATGAAGGCAATGGAGCAGGGCAAGATCGATGGGATGGCAGTGGCTCGCAATAATTTTGTCCGCTCCGTGTCACTTGGCAAGGCAGCTCCTCTGAAGTACGTCTTGGAGGCCATCACCTGTAAGTTATTGTTCCAAGGCTTCGAACACGAATGCTTTGACCTTCAGGATAGCTCCTCGGGGTTTATGGATCTCGAGAGACAGAGAGTCGAAAATTTCCGTCAGTACAAGATGCTCAATGCCATGGATAACCCGGAGCATTACGTGCATTCGGGAGACAGTCTTTTTACTCATTTTTGCCGCATCAAACTGGAAGACCTGAGTGATACCATTCCAGAGATTTCCAGCATGGTGAAAGAGATCATCGACCTCACCTTCGAAAACTCTTCCGCCGAAGACTCTTCCACTGAGGTCACCACTTACCTCACTGCTAAGCTCGGCACCACATTTTTCCAGCTTGCGGCTTGCGTCTGGCAGGTACACAAGCTTGCCTTCGCCTTCCACCCCATGGCTCGCATCTTTCGTGTTGCGCAGTCTGAGAAGTTTGTAGAGAAGTACATGGAGTCTGTCATTTTCCAGGAGTCAGAATCCGATGAAGACGAGGATATGCCCAGCTCAGACATTTCCCGAGTTGATTTTATGGTTGTGCCGGGCTTCCTCATCGACAGAGTGGTAGTGCGTAGCAGGGTTTTTGTCGTCACAAAACCCGTGTTGAGTTCCGTTCGGTTGCCCATCCGAACTAAGTGAATTCCGTTTTGCATTCTTCAACTTAGCGAGGCTTTTACATTCATTTGATGTAGATATCTGCAAATGATGCAAATGGTCGGAATCGGTATGTTAGTCTCATCTTGGCTCTACTTAATACAGTAAGCATGGAAACTTCACACCAGTTTTGAGGTTTAGGATGAACACTAAGAATGCTTGATCTGTGAGCCGGGTTAATTTAGAACAAACTTGAGAGCTTTCAGTAATCCATGGGCAAGTCATATTTAGTGGAGTTTTTGTGTATGATCAAGGAATACTTCGAATGTCTTTGTATCACGCTCTCAATGCTCCACATTGCATATTGTTGAGGATTTTTGTTGTTCAAGTACCTATATACTTTCAGTGAAACATACTTGTTTCATATTCAGAGCCAAATGTGTACAATGGTGAGTACTGAAGCATATCTGGAAACTATAGTGCTTTACGTACGTCATAATCCGTTTGCAAGCTATGATACACCATTTACCCTTACCGGTAGGTTTTAAATAATTCTTAGTCAAAATGCCTTCAGATTTCACTTGATATATACGTAAATTCGTTACTTATTTGTTTGATAAAATATGTGATGATATTGAAAGTAATAACATTCCACTGTTACAATATTTGCCCTCGGAAACCATTTCAAAAAAACAATTAATACAAAAAGTCACATCACTCAACTGTATGTACACTTTCCAATTAGTTCAAATCTCTTGGCCACTAGTATTATGAAAACATAGCTGTAGCGTTTGGAAGCTCCGACAGACATGATTCTACTGGTACTACGGATGAAGTCGTTAGATCAGCATTGAATCCATACATTGCACAACTCAAATATTTGAATGTTGGGAATTCTATGCGAGCTTTTTGCCTTCTGTTGATGTGATTGCCACTAGTTTTTCTCCAGAGCCTGGATAGGGTATTGCACGAGTGCCAAATGCAGATAAAATTTGCCATCAGATGTGGGTCAGTTCATTGTTGTGGATAGGGGATTGCACGAGTACCCAATACATGCAGATTATGCTATCGGGATCGAGTCGGTTCATTGTCGAAGGGCGTTGGATTTCTTCAATCATTTTGGTGGAATTGTGAAATCTGAGGTAGAATTTTTGAAGATCTAGGGAGTTCGGAAAACGTGACTTCGGAGGAGCAGTTTCGAGAGCTCAACCGTTGGGCTGCCGTGAATGCTTGTGTTGCTAAACCCACATAAACAGTGATTTAAAAAAGTTGAAGGTCGCCGAGATTGGGGTATTGAGTTGAGTGCTGTGGTTTGAGCTGGATGCTAAACAAGGTTGAAGTTGATCGATTCGGTGAAGTAAAAGGGAATAGGCCATTTGCTGAATTTTTAGTTGAAGATGAACTGCATCTAATGGGAATCGAATCAGAAACGGGATGATGTGAAAATTATAGGACTTTTGAAGGATGATATTGTTCACTGGGAAAGCCGCTTGAGATTTAAGTGTTGCTGTCGGGGGTCTTATCCTGTTGGATATATCAAGCGATATATCTTGCAACTTATTTCTTGTTGTCTTTTTGTGATCTTTGCTCCGATACAGAGGAAAGGATCGCCTTTCATTGTTCTTGAAGTACTATAAGCACCATTGTTTTTGTCTGCAGTTCTTATGGCTTGTTACTTGTGGTGGCGGATTTTGGGATTTGATCTCATACTAAAAGGAAGAGCTGCTGATAATGGCACTAGGTGATGTGGTTGAAACTGTAATGTTGTTGGTTGACAGAAATTATTGGAAGCCGATGAAGGTATGAAGCACTTTGAAGGTTTTGCAATGGAGGAAGATAGGGTTACAACCTTGTGAAGGTTCAATGTTGAGTTCAGATACAATTGTATGATAATTAGGGGTATGAATTATTGCAATAAGGTTGAGAAAGGCAATCTAAGTTTTGTGCAGATTACAGTTGATTAGTGAGTTTGCAATAATCCACATCATGACAAGATACAATTCTTTAATCAAGCTTTGTAAGACTTTTAAATTTTAAGTTTTGTTAGAATTAGTTTGTTACAAGTAATTTACTTCTTGTGCCTAATTTAATTGTAAAAAGGAACTTTGTGTCCACTTGAAGCAAATTCTTGTCATAACAACATTCTTAGAAAAGAATAACCTATATTTAAATTTTTTAATAAGATAATGTTACTCTATTAAACTTCAAGACCAATGGACTTTGTAAACAACTAGAATTGCAAAGGTTTGGTCCATTTATTATCTTAAAATAAATTAATCTAGTTCTATATTGATTTCAATTATTATAGTTAATAAAGATTCATCTTGTATTTACCATTGATGTATAATTTGAAAATAAATCCAAAAATATACTAGATATTTAGCTATGAAAGGATTTGATCTTATCTTAAAATTGGATTTATAATCCATAATAATGCATAAGGTATATAAAAGTATTTTTTAATAATATTAAATAATTTAAATTAGCTTCTAATTATCTTAAATATATCCTATTAATTTTTTAAAATTCTAAATATATCTTATCACACTTTAATTAATTTAAAATAAATCTTAAATAATCCTTAATAATCTTAATCTTACTAATTCCAAAAAAACTTTAAATAACTAAAATTTGAATCTTAATCAAATTTTAAAGAAAATTTAAAATATTAATTATTATTAAATAAATTTCTTCAACTCAATCATTTCCACTTTCAAATCGTATATGTCTTTCATCAATTCTTAAAGATTGTGATCTTTGATAGTCTTCATTACTTTTTGAGATGTCACTAGATTTTGGGATATAGGCATTGGCTCCAACCTTGATATTAAACCATAAGTCTTAGCCAAAAGACAAACCTTCTCATACACTAGCCTCGAACAATTAGTAAAACCTTTTTCAAATATCTTATTTGCTAGATTAAAAAAACAGCTTGTCTTCCAAGTATTTATCAACTACTTATAAGAATAATCTAGTTTTTTTTTGCTCCTAAAAGTCACCTCTTTTAGCTTAGCAATTACTCAAATTTAGTCTCAAATTTTTTGATTAGTTTATTTAGAGCCATTTAATTTTTTAGTCTTTGCTCAATCTATTCCAAAAAGGTCCGATTTGTCATTTTCTCTAAATCTTCCTCAAAAAATTCATCTTTCAAGAGTTCTTAAAATTTCTTCCATAGTATAGCCTCAGTATGCAATTCCTACATTTTTTTTTTATTTTATTTTTTTTATTTATTTCTAATATCACTGCCAAATTAAAGCTAGTAATCATCTTTATTTTTGAAACTTGATGCACTTCCATTTCACATGTGTAAACCTTTCAAAACTTAGTGATATGTCTCCCATCAAACCTTCCAACCTTATCCACTACTACTTGTAAAGCTTTGGTGGTGTTACTATTCTCCTATGCACCTATTGTCTCTTTTCTATAAATTGAACAAATGCCTTGAATAAATCATGGGCACCCATCTCACTTGATAATGCAAATCTTAAGATTTGATCTCCTATTTAGACTTGTTGAGTAATTTAGTGCTTTAAAGCTCTCTCAATAGAAGTACTACTATGTCAAGGTAGAAAGAGTTGCCTTAAGAAAGTATTGGATTTTTGGCTATCACTAATTGCTCAATTAAGTCTTAAGATAAGAAAGTATCAAATTTATATATAAATTTTTTTCTATAGGGATAATTACATCCATTCATAAGTCTTAAGTATCAAAGAAAATTCAAAATATGATAAAAATATTTTAAACCTTTATATATCCTTAAGGTGAATTTCCTCCCAACTTCAATAACTTATATGTCATGATTGGACTATCCAAACAAATTAAAATTTTACATAATGTATTGATGTACTTTAAACAACTACCAATACAAATTTCTACTACAAATTTATTATGGATCTTGAGATATTATTAAAATCCTAATAATAGCTTCAAATCCTTTCTTACATTCATTTACATGAAATTTTCTTTATATCTTACAAATTAAATACTCAAGTACCATAAAATTTTGATATATAGCTTCTTAATCTAATAACTCATACCTTTAGATATTTTGAGCCAAATAAGCTTTTGAATAGTTTAAATCTTTATTTTTGAGTTCTTATCTTAGAAATACTAACTATGGAAATATTAATCATAGAAATATTAATTGTACGTCTATGGAAGAAGTTGAGAGTCTACATCAAGAAGTTATATAGTTGAAAGAAGCAAGTAAATTGACTTCACAACTAAATCCAATAAATTTTGCTTCTACAAGTATAATATAGACAAGGATTAATATGCCCAAGAAGTTTGATGGAACAAGATCAAAGATTTGAAGATTTCTACAACAAATCAAGCTCTACCTAAGGTTGCATTCTTTCTAATATTTTCATGGATTTACTTAAGTTAGGTTTATAAGCCCAATTTTATCTAGAAGTACTTTCTTTTGATTTTTACCTTTAATAAAAAAAGATTTACAACTCTAGTATGACTTAAATTCATTCCTAGAAGTATTTACAGCCACATTCAAAGAAAATGATCAAAAAAGAATAGCAAAGACCAAGCTCTTATCTTTACAATAAGAATCATGATTAGCCACCATATATGCTTTTGAATTCCAAAACCTTATTTACAACATGGATTGGAATGATAAAGCCCTTATCAATCAATTTTGATATGAATTAAAGGATAATAACAAAGATTTGTTATTGACAATGCTAAAAATAAAATCTTTAGAAGAATTTATTGCTTAAGCTATTCTATGAAATAATTGATTATTCAAAAGATCTCAAAAATAAAGACTTGATTAAAAAGATACAAGTGAAGTAATGATGGTAGCTCCAAAGTTTATAGAAACTTATTCATCAAGGCTAAAATCAATGCAAATTGATATAATACATTTTAAATCCCTCACAAAGCAAAAAAAGACTTGACAACATCAAGAAGGCTTGTACTTATATTATAGAGAAGCTAAATATACTACTCAATATTATTCAAAAAAAGAATATAATCACAAAATGAGGAGTATGGTTGCCAAAGAAGATGATATATCAAAAAATAAGCTTCTCTAACTACAATAGGAACTGTTGTCAAGAAGGCAAGTCTCTCAAGAAAAATATGAGATCCTTAATTATAAGTAGATTACAAGAAGGCACAATATTGTTTCAAATGAAATCAAATGTAAAGGACAAGCCAAAAGCAAGGTATAATATATAGATTAATTTCTTTTTTGTATTAGGATGCACTCAATTTTTAATTCTAATTTCAAATTCAAATCTTTTTTTTATTAAAATATCTATGATTCATTTGGTATTAATTCGATTTAGGTAAGTTTTAGCTCATTGAGAATAAAAAAAATTAAAAAATTAAAAAATCTAATAAATGGAATAAAAAATTCCAAACCAATCTTAAAATTTATTGCTCAAAAATTCCAATAATCTCCTTCCC